TAAACATTTGTTTTCATTAGGTCAACAAATGGAGTTCATTTTCCTTCTGTTTGCACAGGTAAGTAATGCTTTGTTGTTTTTGTTAGTTGTGCAATCTTAGTAATATGTTTGCTAATATTCAGGGGTGCACATAATTTTTTCAGTCTGCTTCTCATAAGAGAACCTGGAGATTTGGTTTAGTCCTCACACTGCATATAGAGTGACCCATTAAATATAACTATAAAAAATACATTAATTATAGTGATTATATTATTGCACTTTATTATTTAGTTTATTTAATGAGGTTTTTAAATAAAATTATAAAGTACGATAATATTATTGTTAATAAAGAATAACAATTTGGTCCCTCTGTAAATTCTCTTTGCCACCGTGAAATCTTCTCAGTCTCATAAAGTGTAGATAGACGGCCGGGAAGTAAGAAAACACACAGTCAAATGTATCCTCAATACTTCAATTTATTCATAGAAATACAGATATTATATAGGCATATGTCGAGGGGAGTTTCACCCTCTTAACCAATGAGGATATGAATAACATACACGTAGGATCTTTGGCCAAGAACATGTGTTTATATAAAATGGCCACATGTACAGAAAAACATGGACATATTAGGAATAGACTTTTGCGAAGAATGCTGAACTGTCTTCATGGTTTCATCACGAACTCCTTTACCCTTGTAGTCCAAACATTCATGTCCTTATTTGGGACATTTGAACCAAGAGAAGCTAATGTATACATTTAAGCATGCATACTTCGCATATGAGTAAGACATATTTAAAACATAATATCAAGAGAGAGAGATGGATACAGGAGGGGGATTCAGAGAGAATGCGTTGTGTATATATAGAAGAGTGAGAAAGAGGGAGAAAAAGGAGGGGGCTGAGCATCCCTGGAACATTCTCTTAACAAGACAGAGAGTGTTTTCTAACAATTATTTAAAATTAAAGGGAGTATTAAATACTAACAGAATTATTTAATTGTAAACTTAAAAATAAAATGCTAATATTTACTACTACTTTTTTATATGACTTCTCATAATTTTCAAACTTAAAGTCCAGCCCGGGGTCATCACATGTGGTTGCCGCAAACCCTCCGGACGCTCCTTCGTCGAATCCGCCGCCTCTGCTCACTCTAGCCCTCCGGCCGTTCCTCACTTTATCCCCCGGCCTCTGCTCACTCTAGGCCACCGTGTGTGACGCTGTGTTTCGTTGTGAAAGTGAAACTACTTTGTTTGGTCTTCCAAAAGAGGACACAACTAGAAATCAGTGGTTAAGTTGTATTTACAACACTGTTCCAGAACAGTTCAACCCAAATATTCAGATGTGTGCAGCACATTTTATGGAGGACTGTTTCCTGATCCTGGGAGAGTAAACTACAATGCAATAACCTGCTTTCTGTCGGCTTTCTGAAGTGTGCATGTGTGATTCGTGACAGGAACGCATTGTTAGTGCAGATTTAAGCGCATCTAGACCGAGCAAACATCTTGCAGTAAAGAAAGAAGGAAATATATCACAAAAGCAGACTTTTTTGACTCAGAAAATGATAAAAGTGTTCTCATCTCGTGCAGCAGAAGTAGAAGTGGTTCAGTCACAATGCTGCATTTATAACTGCATGAGAGGAAAATATATGCGCTGCAAGTTTCCCGCTGACATGTTGCAAGCTTTATTTAACATCACGACTGACAAATGTATGGAAAACTCAGAGTCAGATACGCAAATTATTATATTTTGACATCACTACAGGGAAATAACCTGATTTATTAATGAAGTCATGTAAACGCAGCTTACTTGCGTTGTCAGGTTACTGATGTGCATGTAAACGGGGAAAACTGGTTATTTTAATAAGCTGATATTTGTGAGTTATCAGCTTACTGGTGTGCATGTAAACGTGCTCATTATCAGAGAGATCAGGGAAAGACCAAATGCATTCACACGCAACTCAGGTGTTAATTAGCATGAACAATGACAGCAATTAAAGTAATGAGGCCGAAGCACCAAGAGCATCACTGACGACTGATTTTTACATTTGCATTTACACACCTAAAGCAAAAGAGATTCATTTTAAAATGTAAATGTAATTTATCCTTGCACTGACTTTCTACAGCTACAATTTAACTTTCACCAAAATAATTGTCTTTTGCAGAAATGATAGTGAAACAACAGATCATCTTTTCTTTTCCTGTCCAATCATTAATACATTTATCAAGGAGGATATTAAGTTTAAAGAATTTTTAGTGGGTTCATATAATTATTGATGTGCCTTCCTTTGTTAGAAAGTGAACTTTTATTATTTGGAAATATTCTGGAGAAAACAAAGTGATTATACAGTAATCCCAACCCCCTGTATATATGCAAATTAGAGCATTTTAATTACTTAACTCCTGATTTGCATATCAATGTGGTGATTCATTTTACTGTATTCCGCTGTCGTTTCTCCATTAAGTTAGCCTGTATGCCTATGATATATTGCCTCAGCTAAACTTTAGCTGACTTATTACATGGTAGCTCATGAGTCATGGATGTTAGCAAGACAAGTTAACTATATTTTCCTTTTTTCTATTCGATAATTAGCTGTAAATTCGAGGCACAGGAAGCTTAGTCTTTTGTTCATCACCACTCACCTCCACACCAAGACAAACACAACTGGAAAGGGAGGGAAGGTTTCACTTCTGCAGCTCTCTGCCTGTCAGTGATGTGCCGATCAATGTGTGCTACACTGCTGTGCTGCGCGAAGACGTGGAGGGGAGAAAGGCATCGGAACTCGACAGTCTCAACATTTCCCGACCTGACCTGATATTTAGATTTTTTATTTGTTTTACAGGAAAAGCTGTGCGCAAACAGAAACACACACACATAATACATATATTCATTTATAAAAAAAATAAATAAATAAAAAACTCCCCAGAAAAAAACAGCACTTTCTCTCGAGGAAGAAAAAGGGCAGGTGCTCAAGCCCCCTTTAATGTCTATGTGTGCATGTGCCTGCTAGACACAAACATTGCGGGAGCGGGCGATAATGGTCAGAAATTCAGCAGGAGTGGGATTAAGAAGGCTATAGTACAAAAACACCCACTTTGAATGGCGACTGTAGAAAGCAAAAGCCGGATCTCGGACATTTTGGGCGAATTAGAAATCCCGGCCGGACACATCTTTTTAGGTCGGAAAAGAGGACATGTCCGGGAAAAAGAGGATGTATGGTCACCCTATCTTAAGCCAATGATATACAGGGCAACTTTTTGAGTAATTTTGCTGGGCAACATTGCCGTCAATGGGCAACCAGATGAGACACAGGGTCTACGACCGATATAAAGTATCCAGATAGAAAATGTGTTGCCCATTCTCAATGAAAAAGTGCCCCATCAACTTTGCTCAAAAAAGTTGCCCCGTGTATCATCACCTTTACTCACAAATCAAGTAACCAGCTCAACCTAATTTACACACCCAGTTGTTTCACAGATAACAGTTTGGTAAAACCTCTGCACATTAGTTAGTTAATTCCTTTAATGTCCACAAGTGTAAATTTGTCTTTGGTTTCACAACACACCATAACAGGGCAAACACAATAAAAACGTTACACAAGAACAATAATAAAAGTCTTAAAATGAAAATAAAAATAGACTCAACAAAACTGAAGAGATTTCACCCCAGCGCTTCTCTTTGTCCTTACGGTTGTGGTACATTTTCATTACATTATACAGTCGTGTTATTGCATAACTTCCACTGTTACTTGGTGTGTCCTTGTATCTTACACCTTTAACCCTATGATTATTCAGGTAGGGTAAGGATATTCAAATCTAGTCTAAATCATGAAGTTCTCACCCGCCCACAGGGTGCAGTCCTTCAGGAATGACGTAGAAGACTCCCTTGTGGTTGTTGTTGTTTGAGGCTCAGTTTGAGGTTATAACTAAAGTCTCACAGGAGGCAATCATAACAATAAAATCCCTTATTTTATTGGTTACAATACAAAGCAGTTAATGCAAAAATAAAACAAAATCGAGTTCTGTAATCAAACTCTAAACAGTAATATTGGAGATAAGCGCCCCTCATTAGGGTATCAGGTGTCCTTCACGCTTAATGCAGGCAGAATCTGAAGAGAGGTTTACTCCTCAGACCTTTTATACTACGTTTTGGGAAAATCCAATTCAATATCAGTCTCTGTGACTCATGTCCAATTGCCGAATGTCCTTCTGCCTTCTACACTGTCATCTTCTTTTAGCACTCTTCTCCTGTTTTACCTCCGCTTGTGGTTTTAAACCTTCTCTTCACCCCCGTGTGCCCTTTCAGTAACCTTTGTGGTTAGTTGCAAACATTAAGTTCATGAATTTACTTTTTACAACTTTTTGCTCATTTCATCCTGTTCTATAGTATAAACAAAGAAAGTCGTGCACATTTATCTAAGCTCTACATCAGTATCATTTAAAGCATTTCAGATACTTTCTAATCATTTAGCATTTTCATATTCAAGAATATATGGCATTAACTTAAAAGCAAGCCAAATAAAATAACATTGAAACAG